CTTAAGAATCAGTCCTAGATGAATAGTTTGAATTTTAAATATGCTGTTGAATAAATAAACTGCATAAAATAAAACCTGCAAATGATAAAACAGATTTTCAGTTGTAGCTATTAAAAAGACCAAAGACATATCCCAGTACGAATACAAGGTAAAGAAAATGAAACCAAGTGTATATTTAGCCAAGTTACCAATGCACACAAAAAGATAGTAGCTGCATTTGTTTATTTTTAATTGTGCTTATGGGCAGGTGTTTAAATACAAAAAAAAAAATTGTGCTATCATTACTTTACTTTTCATGTATTTGTGCCATATACTGACCATAAATTAATATGAATTACTGAAATCATAATATGCTTAAAGAATAGTCTCTGTCATATCTCTGGTTGTAAATAGACAACTTCCTTTGAATTTCAAAGGAAGATATTTATTTTACTAGCTGAGAAGTCTTGCATTGAAATACCATTCTGTGAGTGCCAGCTAAGCATCTCAGCTACCTTGAGCTGGCAAGCTGGTTATACAAGAAATGAGAACATTTTAGCATTAGCCATTTGACTCCCTTCCCTGGCACTTCAAGCTTTATACTCAAGCAAAGAGAACCAATAAAATATTTAAATTGTGCTAGAGAAACCCAGTTTCTTTTCCATGTTCAGTTGTGGGATACTTGCACATTCTTGTCATGGTGCCTGGGTTAGATTCACTGGTCAGACTGAGAGGGTTATACTGCAGTATTTGGAGGACTCTGTCCTTGCCGGCCTTAGCACCCTCAGAATTCTCAGTCGCCTGAGTAACTATGAGCCTGAAATTGATTTCTCTGCATTTCTCTTCCATCGCTGTCTAGTTCTTGATATCACCTGCCAACATGACATATATGTACTAAAAATCCAGTGGGATTCATAAAATACCTAATCTCTGGCTAGCTCATTCAAAAAGCTCACTAAAGCTTTTATGGAGTATACTTAACATTTAGGGTGGAAAAAAAAGGAAACTCTCAGTATTTGGTGTAACTCAATAATTTCTTTTTCACTAAGCATTTTTTCCCTTTTCCATGTCTCTAGAGTTATAATTATTCCTTGAATTATTTTGGAGAATATAGTGAAGTGGTCTAGGCTGGTATAAATTCATATGTCTGTCCTGGTTTTGGCTAGGGACAGGGCTAATTTTTTCAGTAGCCATGAGGAGGTGGAGCCTTAATTCATTCAAAATCCTAATGTTATTTGATACCATCTAACATCATTGCCAGTAAGGGGGGAACACACTCACTCTTGCTTCTGGGAAGAAAGGACACTCTTTTCCAGGGGTGGGAAAGTATGGCAGGTGGAGGGCCCATCCACCATTGTTGTTTCATGGTCCTGAGCTTGGTGAGCATTTTGTATGAAAATCACCCTCTGATTTCACATTTTTTGTCATTAGTATTATTGCTGTAACTTTCAATTTTCTTATCTCATTACTGTTTCCAGTAAATTATTCCTAACTCATGATCTTTGCCTTTTGTGTCTTCAACTCCCCTCACCATCCATCCCAAGGCAGAAGAGGGAAGGGAAGGGAAAGGGAAAGGTGTCAGCATGGTTTGGATTGGAACACTAACCTCTCCTAAACCACAACAGTGGCAAAAGAAATAAAATGTTTTACTGCTAAGTTTAAATCTCCTTCTCGCTTTCAATCATTAAATGCCTGTAGTTAAAATCAATACAGAAAGAAACCATGAGCCAAAGACCACTTTTCATATTTGCTAGGGAGATAAAGTAGAAAGAAACATATTTTCCGGAATTTTTTACTGGAGAGGAATTAATTTCTTTAATTATGTAATGCATATGATTCACAATTTAGAATATTTGAATGTTTAAAAACTACCTCACAGAGTAGTCTGATAAGTTATTTTATGGTATAGAAATGAAAAATACTTGATTATAAATATTCTGGACTTTTAGATACCTGTGAGTGCTATGCCATTTCCCTTTTAAATTACTCTGATATAGAGAAGTAGAATAGAAATTAATCATCTTACCACTATTTCACTTTAGAATACAGAAAGCATGGGACAAAACTGTGTAAAGATCTATATGAAGATTTTTATTCATTATATATTAGATCATGTACATCAGTCATTATTGAATCATATACTATAAAATATTACTATGGCAGTTTTTAGGGGAAAAATCATAAAGCTCAGTGTTTGAGACATCAAAGATATTAATCATTCTCAGCAAACTTTGAGAAGAGTTTCATGGTTTTTATCTTTAGCATGTTTAAAGTTTTCTCATTTTATGTTTTTTCAGCATTCCATCTGAATGCATGCTTGACAATTTAATCACTTTCCTCTGTGATCAACTCAATACTAGGAGCATACCTTGGAAGATAGAAAAAATTGTCTTGAAAAAACATAACTCCAGTGATTGGGGCGACATAAACACTGGCATGACCAATTATCTGTATGTCATTCAGGTGGAGACATGCAAATCAGATAGGGGGTGCAGTTGTTATATCAGTCTTTTGCATTTTAAAACCTGGTTTCGTGTCTGCCTGACCTTTGTTTCCCTGTTCACTGTTCAGAGTCTTCTGTTCTCTCGTTCTAGAGAAAAGTTATTAGAGACCTCAAATCATTCTCTGCTCTCCTCTGGAAGCTCTTCAAGGGGTCTCAGTTTCTCCAAAGGTGTGATGTTCTAATGTGTTTGCAATACGCTTGCTGAGGTACTGCCAGTGCTGCAGGAAACAAAGAACTATGTCACATGTCATGCAGGCTTAATTCCTGCCACAGATACTTTTATAAGATTGGCACATTTATTGACTCTTCTTTTATGATCAGACTTGATGTTCTCATTCTATGCTTAAACAGTCTTTATTTCCTTTATTATCAAATGCTTTGCACTTGTCCCCATTTTTCTGCTTTTATTTCTGTTCTTTTTTTTTTTTCTTTGTTTTTCCAGGACATTTGTCTTATTTACCATGAATACATGTATCTAATCAAATCTCTTCAATTTTCATGCTGACTTAATATAAAGAAGTACCATTTGTGTTCTATCATATAGATTATTTATGGAACATTGCATAGGTCAAGACTAAGGCAAGATCTCTGCTGAATCACATTCAACACACCTCCATGTTTTGCTAATGATTCTAACTTCTCTCCCCACATTTCATCAACCATGTTTGCATTCTCTATTAAAAAGCAGGCCATAGTAAGGCCAGGATACAGAATATTTTTCTTTCTCCACATATCAACTGGTCCCTTTAGCACACCTAAGGAACTTTGTTTAACATAACACTGCTTCAAACTGCTGTAGCAGAGGTAGACCAGAGCTGAAGGCTGTCTAAATTTACTCCACTTCACCTGTGTCAATACGCTGTTTTGCAATGAGTTTGTGTCTAAATGTTTACATTGACATGTCCTAAGACAGTTTCTTCTAGGATTTCTTGGTGTAATAAAACCCTACCTTCATAATTCTGCCATGATGTTTAATGGTCCATTTCTTCCCTTGCCTGGTGTTTGAAATCTGATGCTCCTTCCCCTTTGAAAGAGAATTATTAGATAGGATACAGAAGTCATTTCCTAGACTGTGTGTGTGTGAGAGAAGTTACCAGCTTCTCTACTGTTGACAGCAATATTTCCTTTTCCAATCAAGGTGTCCCTGTATCACTGTTCCAATCTGACCTACATTTTAACATGCTGAAACCTCTTCCTGACTCCCTGTGAGTTTATCATGAGTGCAAGCATACAGCCTATATACCAGCTCCTAACACTGCCCAACCCTGAGTTTGGACCTCTTGAAACCAGGACTTTGATTTTCAAATTAATGAGGTTTGAAAGAGTAAATGGTAAGCCTCCATACTTCTTTTTGAACTTGAATATTGTTCCAGCCTCCCTGGTAGGTAGGAAAGCTCAATATATACTCATTTTTAAAATGAAAGCTGAGGTGTTTCTCTAATCTCTTTATTTCAGCAGCCAAGGTTTTAAGATAAACTGTCTCTATCATAAAGTTGGCATGTAACAGAACCAAGTTCATATTTTCACAGTGAATATTTCTCTATGTGGTTAGAGCAGTTTCTAGCAAAAAAACCCTACTTTCCATTAAAAAAAAAAAAAAAATAATCCCCAAGCTGTCATCCTCCCACCACTGGATTTACCAGCATAGAGTAGAGGATTTCTTGCACAATATTCTGAGCAATTCCTGGAACCAATATTTTGCAATTGCTTTAACCTCTCTACAAAGTGACTTCTTAATGCATATTTCCCCCACACATTCACATAAGATTAGTATTCTCTTTTCACTAAAGAAAGATTAAGATGATCACTGTCTTAAAGTCTTTGATTCCTTCTTTTCAGCTGTAGTTCCTCCTACAGTAAATAATACTTAGTGACTTGAATAAAGTCCCATTATTCTTTGTCAAGATACCATAGTAAATTGAGCCACAGTCATTTTCTTGACTCAAAACAACTGTTACTTATATCCTCTGCAAACTGGGAAATGCCTATGTTTAGAAAGACTTTATCTCTCAAATAGGAGGTGTTATAATAGTGGTGTCTCCTTCCAAATTTAATCAGAGTAAAAAAAGAATCTGCTTGCTCTTTAAAGCCTTTTACTGTGCAGGGTTTATGAAACCTCTGAGCTTTTTGTCTAACGCATATTTAGAATAGAATAAAATTGAATAGACTACTAAACTAGACTAGACTAGAAAAGAGTGGAACGGAATGGAATATAATAAGAATAGAATGGCATAGACATTTCCATTCCCATGCTGCTTTTAAATTCAACAGCTTGCATAGTGTTTCATTGAAGGTGCTTCAATGAAATCTCTGTCTCTATCGACATAGGCCTGCTAGTTTACATATATCTACTATTTCCAAAACTACTTAATATATTTGAGATATACTTAATATATCTTCCCATGTGATTATGTATTATCCATCTCAAAATATCAATAAGATTGTGTGTGCTTCAGAATAATCTACTGAATGCTGGCTTTACAGTACTGATTCTATTGTGTCTTCCCAAATAATTGACTCTAAACTCCAGAATTGTGCTATCTGTTAAATGATTCATATTCCTGTAACTCACATGCTATTTGATTCAAATATTTGTAGCATAGAAATGTATGTGTGTGCAGTATAAACAAGAAGAGTGCATTTTTGTTTCCAAATAAAATAGAAATTCTATCTGGAATGCTTGAGACAGCTCTAAACTTGTAGTTCCAAGTATAGGTTCCTATTCTAAATCCAATTCTGTTCTTTCTGCTATCCTAAAATTACCAATGTTTTTCTCTGTCTTCAAAGAAACTGTATTAGAAATTCTATGAAAAATCAGTTTATTTCGCTTGTTACCAAGGGCAGGGATATATAGTCACTATTAAAATCACTTTTGTAACTAATTTTTTTTTGCAATAAGGGCACCAATCTAACTACAAAAATCTGGAGCCACAGAGAGAAAAATAAAATTTGTCACTAACATATCATGCTATTGAATTAAGGTTGCCTTTCAGTCTGGCTGGATTGGGAGATTTTCTGTTCTGGGTAAGGTCTGCAGGAGTCACAGTTTCCTCTACACATGTTGGAAGTGTTCTTTAGACTGCAAGAGTTGAATACTGAAAAGCATCAACAACTACAGAACAGTTTGCAACCTTTGTAAGACTCTGTAGACTGTGAGGAGGAATACTTACATTCTTTCATTTCATCACTTTGTATACTTTAGATCATTGTAGGTTAAAAGAGAATAATTTGGAGAATTCAAGGAGAACTATGATAGTAGGTTTTCTGAAGGGCTCAAACAGTTCCTAAGAGATTTAAGCAAGCTTAATTCAAAATCCGGGTGAAAGGGAAAAGGTATGGAAGTCACACAGGATAAAAATGAATACTGTAAATAATTGTGCCCTCCTTAGCACTTACTATTATAGTCTTTGTTTCAGTCTTCAATTCCTTTACATGTAGAAAGGGTTGAGACACATGAAAGGAAAAATTATTTTAATGTTGTTATTCAGATAAGCTTCCAAAAAAAGTTGTACTTATTCCTTCCTTTATTCAAAACTGTTTTGCCTAAGTTTGACAATATATAATCCAGCAAAATACATGTTGTGAATAAGTGAAAACAGTTATTAAGAATATGCATGCCTTATGTCTATATATCCCTGAAGCCTCCCCTTGAATGCTGGAATAATATTTCAAATTAAAGGGCACAAAAAAAAAAAAAATAAAATCAAAACACTTTAAGTTTTGTAGTCGTATTTATTAAATATACTGAGTACAGAAAGTAAACATGGAACACATGGGTGAAAGTTCTTCCCAATGCTTTCAAGTCCAGTATAAGCAGGACCATGTATGTATCATACACTATTTGTCTCAAACTGCTTTCACTAGCCAGGGAAGTTAAAGTCTACTTTTCTTAACCTGTGCATGTTAGGATTAGACTGAGATTGTGTATTCTTACTCCTTTAATTATGTTTTTCAGATATCCATGTGGTCCTCCGCTTGCTGCATCATGTATCAGCTCTACTCCTTTATCACTTGTAAGTACAAAGCAGAACACAAGGCAAAACTCTGACTACAATTACCTAAGTTTTGACAGGGTTATGTTCGAGGCCTCTCAATTGTTTACAGATAATTGAGATATTTTGTAAAATTTAAATATAAATAATTTCTTGCCTCCATCAGGATTTCTGCAAGAGTTCAGAGTGGGGAAAAAAACTGTGGAAATATCCACTAAGCAATTAAAAAATTCTCCCTGGGACTGAAGTGGGCCAAGAAAGCAAGCAACCACCATGATAAGTCAAGTTGGGAGAAACCCTTGCAGGTGTAATTGTGCACATTTGAAGACTCATAGTTCTAGGGACGAAGATCACCATATCTTTAATATTTTCTATTTTTTCTGTATTAATATTTTTGTTTGTTTGTTTTCAGGAGGGGAACATTGGTAATTGATATAAAGAGAGAAGATGATAAAATGATGGTGGGGAACAGTGGATGTGTGTAGAGTTATAAATTCACTAAAACTGATAATTTTCTTCTCTAGAAACACTCTGCTAACAGAGCATTAATGGCAACTAGGTTACGAGAAAAATTATTCAAAAGATATTTATTACTAAGCTGCTACTTAATAATCTATTCTATTCTTAACCTTCTATTCCTTACTTAGCTGCCTCAAGCACAAGGGGTCTAGGAGAACATAGAACATTTTGTATCACATAGCACTCACTTGAGCATGTTGTGTTGGAAAATAAAAAAAGCAGTGTGACTAATTTGCTGTCTTTATGATCCCAACAAACTGTGTGAACCTTTTTTTTTATAGGGAGAACATTAAAAATTAATGGATTTCCTTTCGGAGATTTGCAGGTATTGTATATTTGTCAGTAAAGCTAATCAATAAATCAAAAAGGAGAGTAGTAAAGAGAAAAAAGTATTAGCATTTGCATTTCACCTCAAAATTATTTTGTAGTTTATAAACCTATGCAAAGCAAATTGTGGTGGCAGTAAGACCTCTAAGGATTCATAGGATTGTACTAATTTTATATTACTTCATCTCAAAAGACCTCATTTTCCTAGTAATTTGGGGCTACACACAAACAGAAAAACATCAGAAATTCTAAGTGGCAGGTAACAAGCCTCTAGACATTAATTTATAATATTTTGAGCTTCCAAACATAAATTCTGATAATATAGATAGATAACGTATCTATATAGGTGTGTATATAGGTATAGGTCACATAAAGATATATGTATGTGCATATGTGTGTATCTATTTTACATAATAAAAATTTTTGAATCCTTTTCTCAGTGAGCGTTGGCCTTAACTGGCTTGATGTAAGCCCTTGTCCTAGGTGACATTTTATGAGCAAAAGGATTTTGTCAAAATAATCTAAGTTTGAAAACAGAGGATTTTATATTCTGCAATCAAATATACACAGTTTAGTAGTGGTTCTGAACCGTAGATATGAAAATACATAAGGGCTGAAATACTTTGTTTGATAGTTGGTCACAGTAAACTAAGATACTGATCAGATATTATTCTGTGGGTTGATAATACTATTTTTCTTGTTTGGTATTGAGATATTACTGCAACACTCAACCACAAGACAATATTATTTTTGGAACACATAAAAAAAAAAGTCAGAAAGCCAATAGTATTTCTTTTAATAACTCAAATACTTTATAATTTGTCACATAGAGGCTAAAATAGAGACAAGTCTGTAATTCTTTGTTGCTTGGTCTGTAGCTAATGAAGTTTCTTCTTGCTTATATATGTTAATTATTTTCTTGCAGCTCCCAGAACTTTCTATCCACTTGGATCCATACCATATGTAATTCTTCTTGCTTTGTACCCTCAATTATAGAATGGAGATTCATGTTTCAGTTAGTCTTTAACTTCTTTACCTGTTTGGCCTTCTTTCTTCCTGACAGGAATAAAATAAGTTTGTTCTTTTTTCTGTGACCTTACATGTATGATTTTTTTTCCCCATTTTAAAGCTTAAAAAGCAATGTGGTTACACTCTTTTCTGTGTAAGCACATATTTATTGCTTGAGAAGGGCTTGTGTGTCCTAGATGATATTATCTCTAGCAGTAGCTACTGCAACATCAGTTTTGTAGGACAGACACGCTAGCTTGTCACTTGTCTTAGCCTGGCATCCCTTGGGGGTATTTTGGATCATATTGATGTTTATTTCAGGTGCTCATTCTGATCATCTTCAACAAGGTCATAAATAACTCAGTTACTCAGCTGTTTTATTCCTGTTTCAATTTCATTCTCTTGCAGATAAAGTTGTCTCGGTTTTTGGGGTTTTTTTTGTTTTTTTTTTTTATGCTTTGGCCTTTCTTTTTAATATTGTCTTTTTTGCTCTCCTGTATCATGCTGGATTTGTATACATTTTTGACAAAACAGAACTGTTTTCCATTCTCCTATATTTCTCCATAATTATACTCTAGTACTAAACAAATTTGAAATGTACAAATAATGGATGGAAACCAGCTACATAAACCCCCTGTGCTGAAAGATATTGTACTGTGAAGGACTTTATTATTACATGTAATTGGATTCTAACATTGAAAATAAATGTTAAACATTAAAAGGATATTATTTAGAACAATGAATAATTATGATTTCCATTTCTTTTTCTATAGACATTTGAGAACAGATAGTATTGCTCATGCATTTATCTTTTTTTCTCTATTGCTCTCTGGGGCTTGTTCCATGAAAAAAAATGAATAGACAAATGAATCAAGTATAAAACCACAGGATAATGCTCAAAGCTTGTTCAACAAACATGTAAGTGAAAATAAGGCAATCCATTGCTTTTACTTAGCAAATACCAGTGCTTTTGATAGCACATGTTAAGAAAAGCCCCATTGTGCTCTAAAAATACCATCAGTCTTTGGAGTACTGCTGCAAAATATCTTTGGTATGTATTGTTCCTGTTTGAGAAAAGAGAACATTTTAGCAGAAATGCCAATTATATTTAAAAAAATTAATCTGACATCTCCCAGAAGTTTGCATGCTGCTGAATAGCAACGTTTGTCCTCAGCAATTCAAAACAGGTTACAAAGCAAATGAATTTGCATAGATGTCATATACTTTATGTGTTGCATTTGGTGAAAAGCAGATATTGCAATAGACATTGAGAATCCTCTCCAGAATTTCAGTTTAGGTACTCTGGATAATTCATTTCTCTGGAGTTTATTTTTGTCACACTTTTTATGAGGCAGGAACTATTTTGTCATCAAGCTAGAGTTGAACTCCACACTTAATTTCTACCTAAACTCAAGCTAATGCTGCATGAATTGCTTCAATACTACTATTGGCAGAATGAAAACTTTTTAAAAAAATTAAAAGCATCTCCATCATCCTGAAGATATAAGAGCGATTTCAGATGCTGTTTACATAAAGCAACCTCCAAAAGAGAAGCTAAATACTTGTGAAAAATCTGCTAAGCTAAATTTTGTTTTCCTTATCTCAGCTGTGAGCTGCATCCTTGACGTTTGATTAATATATGCAATGCATTCAGCATGAATTTTTGAGAGTTGAAGTTACATTTTCCCAAACCTCAGCATTCTGTTTTACGTAGCGGGAACTATGCAAAGGACAAGCTATCAAGAATTCAAATCATACCTTGAGTGAAGGGAGCATAGTGACTTAACAAATAAATATCTGTATTGTAACTTTTCCCTTGTTCTTTCTTTTAATCTTTAAACATTAGGTAATATTGGTTATTGAAAATAGCAAAAGCCTTATACCTTATCATCCTCTGATTATGGAAGGCTATGCAGTCCATTATGGTACCACATTAAATTTATACCATCTTTCAAAATGGCCTTAAATTCCTAATTTGGTTATCTACTTCACTCATTCTGTATACGAAAATGCATAAAAGCATAATTTTAAGTACTAATTTATAAATGCATTCTAAATAAGCAAACAAAAGTGGTGACTAAAATTCTTCATAAACAAGGGCAAGAACTTAATTTAATATTACTAAAAATTTAATGTAGTTTGTACTAAATTCCGCATTTGAACTTCTCTACTATTAACTTTCATTAGAATACAGTGTCCATAAGAGGACATTTCAAGTACAGGCTTTGAATCTAGAATCAAAATATATATCCCATTGCCCTATTATAAACAAGAAAGAATTGAGAAATAGCACATGAAAAAAATATCCTCTTTATGTTTGTCCTGTGAAGATGTGCACACAGACTTTGAAAATTTTTGAATGTTACTATTAATCTAATGAAACAGGTAAATCTTTGAGACAGTCTCATAAAAGTCTAAAGAGAAGATGAGAAGCATTTTTGACATAAAATTATTTCCCCAAAAAATACCAATTCATTGATGTCACATTGTCTCACTATCTGTGGGAGTTTTGAAATTTTGTTTCTGTGGGAAATTTTGGTTGAGTTTTGTTTCAGTGTTCCAACTCATGCATTAGCATAGTTTAGTTTTAAAATTTTTTGTATTATCTGAATAAATGTATTTAAAGGATAGATAAAATAAATAAACTAATAAATATTTTAAAAGTAAAATCAAAATTAAGCTTACTTAAATTCTCAAATAAAAAGTTATTTTATAGTAGGCGATATTTTTTCTTAGGCAAAAATATATTTCTAAAATGAAAATTTAATTTCTAATGCAATTTTTTTTGAGGGAACACCTTTTGAAATGTTCACATTTTGAAATTTTAATTACCTCTGAGAAAGGCTCTCAGTTTGTTCTTGAACATATGCTTAAACTAGAAAGTCCTCAAATAGTAACAGTGAAAACCCTACCTTGGACGCTTAAAATTTGCTTGCTGCTTTTTTTTGCCTATTTAGTCACATTAAAAATTTTCATGTTATACTAGTAATAAGAAAACAAATAGCTTTAACCTCATTTTTCATTGTTTCAGTTTTTTTTTTTTAGTAAAAAATAGTGGGCTTTGCTGATTTTATGGTCGTTTTGTAAATCTTGTTTCTAAACTTTTTCTTCATTTTCACACTTAATTTTCTTAAGCCTACTTGTAGTGAGATTTAGGAGGGTAATACTGACATTGTTATGCATTCCTCAACATGCAAAGACTATAATACATATTTGTGCATCTTTAATATTTCATATGTTATACTAAGCAGATGCTGGGGGGAAAAAGAGCTACAGTGCTAAGTTTAAAGACATTGGAAATGGCAAATTTCAGATTAAAAAAAATATTGTTCACATATTCCCTTGGACTTCAAAATAGTTTAAGTTTTGAGGCACTTTTTAGGCTTGAAAGAGAATTGTCACCTTGAAGCAATGACAGTTGTCACCTGCAAATGAGTCCATGCAATGTGTTTATACTTCTCTCCATTAGTGTATAGAATTTAGCTGGTTATTTTGGACTATATGAACATGAAGTCCCTTGGTGGGCATGCTTCACATATTTGTACAGTGTCCCGTGGATCTGCCTGAACATGTTCTTTACTGAAATCCTGTGCCTATTACCGTCACACCAGAGAGGTCTGTAGTTTAAATCACAGACTCCAATGCCTGGATAGTGCAGGAATGACAAGATTTGTCGCTACAGCAGATAACCTGCTAGATTAAGGTCTGAAATCTGAGAAGCACATGCAGTTCATTATACACGGAACAGTTGAGAAATGATCACCATCAGTGAGAGCAAACAAAATAGTGCCTTGAAGCTAAGTTGGAAAGATAGCAGTGCTGTTAATAATTAATTCTCCCTGTTGTGTCTGGCATCCTGCCTATGATAGCAAAAAATCCAATAGGATATTGCTATATCCCCCAGCTCATAGAAATCCACCAGGGGTGCACTACGGCTCATCTGTTGTTGCCCAACAGTACAAAATTAAATCAAGAAGTGCTGTCAGAGACATCCTCCCTCATCTTATAGAAAGCAATTGAATGTAGGAGATGGGCAAGTGTTGAAAGCCCTAGACTAAAGTTGGAAAAATCTATCTATTGCAGCAAGCCTGGTAGTGATTGTTAAATCATTCCAGATAGAAACATAGCTATGCCTTGCCCTTGAACTTTCATCCTTTTCTGTTTTGGTTTTGTTTGTTTGTTTTTAATTTAAATCAAATTTATTCCAAGCCCTTTTCAAATAGAGGGTCAGCCTGTACCACAGTCCTGCTAAAATAATCATATATCCAAAAGGAGAAAATTTTAATCTGTTTACATAACTTGCATCCTTTGATCTCTTTCTATAAAAGTTTACAGAAAGTGTCATGTCAATAGAAATACTGCATAATGTACAGATATGGCCTCGCTCTCTGAAGTTCTTCATGATCTTTAATGTGTTTAGATCTACAATGTGTATCTTAGTTAAGTGCTGTTATCACGATTTTCAGGAGCACATTAGAGAAGATATTACAGAAATAATAAGTGACAGCAAAAAAGTTTTGAGGAGTCGTAGAACCACATAATAGTTTGGGTCCAAAAGAACATTCCAAACACCCTGCTTGGGCAGAAAGATCTTTTACTGGACCAGATTGCTTAAAGCCTCATCCAACGTGACCTTGAACATTTCCTGGAATGAGGCATCCAGAATTTCTCTGGGCAACTTGTTCTAATGTCTCACCATGCTTATCATAAAAAATGTCTTCTTTATGTCCAATCTCAATCTACCCTCTATGCTTAAAATAATTGTCCCTAGCCATGTTACTACAGGCCTTGGTAGAAAGTGTCTCTCCAGATGAGAGAATTTTTAAAATTTGAATCTATAGAATATGCATCAAAGACTCTGAAACAATTTTTCATTTAGTTTTATGCTCCTTTAAAATTTAGTTCAAATATTTAATCTTTTAAAGGACTAATACTCAATGTCTTGGGCACAGGCTGGGTGTTTCAAGTTTGTGCATCAAGTTATATCCTGAGTGAAACACTACCAAAAATTGCTAGTATCAAAAATGCCACTTATTCTCTATGCGTGGATTAATTTCAAATTGATTATGAATCTTCTTCTAATCTCTAATCCATCATAATTCAGTTTAAGAAATTAATTCAGAAGTTTAATATTACCCAAAAATCATTTTTCTGCTGTACTGATTGTTCCAAAAATTATACATTTTTATTGTCTTTTTAAATTCTGCAAATTCTTGTTTATTGTTGTTTTATCAAAACTTCCCCACACACGGCACCAGTTATGACTTTGATGGCCCCACGTTGGGCTTCTCCCTGAGGGCTCCCCTAATGGGGGAAGCCCTCCTGGAGCAGCTCTTTGTCAGGAATGAGAGACACATTGGACTTTTTTGGTCTTCAGCTTCTTGTTTATTGTTATGTTATCAAAACTTCAGCATGCCGTCTGCTCCAGACCTTGCATGCAGGAAAACAGCACAAAAATGACCCCAGATGTACAGTTTCAAGGTCTTTTAAGGCTGAACTAAAACTAAACTACCCAATTAAGAAATGACACCTAGATCGTTTCCCCTTTTAAGCCAATAACTTATCCCTCAAGACCTGCAATGCCAACTTTTCTGTCCAATCGCAAGATACCACCAAAACCCATGAGGAAGGAAGAAGAAGGAAGAAAAAGGAACTCGAGACAACACCCTATACTCTCCATCTCGTTTCATATCCATTACTATATTCTAAAAACCTAAACTCTAA